TATACTGTATCATACTGCACATTATTGTATCACACTGTGCCATTGTAATACAAAAATATATATAAATACAAGTGCTGATAATTAATAAAAATCAAGTTCTTTTGGTTCAGTTTAAGTTCTAAAGTTTTGGTTTTGAGTTTCTTTTGATTTAATGTCAAGTTTGACATGTTTAATTAATTTTATTTTGAAATATTAAGTAGTTTTTGGTTAAGTTTACCTTTTAGTTTAGTCTTATCTTCATCATCTTTTACCTTGTCAAAAAACATCATTTTATCATTATAAACATTATTCAGTTATAATATTCAAAGTAAATTGCTGTAAACACAGTCACTATTGTTATTTTGAAATACTTTCATATACAAAAGCTCAAAATGATAACAGTATATATTATTTCTGTTAATTTTTAGGTGATCAAATGCAAGAACAAACCAAATTAATTAAAAAATTAATTATTATTAATGAACTATATGAAAAATTCTAAAAGATACTTATTTTTAATTACTTTTAAAGTCAAAAATCAATTTGCAAGATCTATTAAAGTTTTTTTTTCTATTATTCTATATAGTAAGTATACAAGAAGATAATCAAGAAGTTAATTACTATAATTCTCTTTTCAATCTTCAAGGAGTATCAACAAATGCTGGAGAAATATTTGGTGAAAAATGCTAAAGGTTATATTAATAGTATGGGTTATAATACGTGAATATTCATGTTCATAAAGCAACACAATCATCAAGTTCATTATAAATTATATAAATTTGTAGATTTTTTACTAATTATTTTTGTTTGATAATTTTAGAAAGAGTAAAATACTGCAATAAATGCAATAATTATGCTTTTGCTATCTGAAACACTATCTTTTCAATATTTGGTGAAGAGAAGTTAGTAAGGATTGATAATAATACTTTTTCTATTCATTTTGCTAAATGAATAAAAAGTGAAAAAACTTGAAACATGTATAAAAATCTCTTTTATAATGATAATTTGCTTATAAATATTAATTACATAATATTTGAACAATATAAGAAGAAAGCAATACCAATGATGCATTATATATTTATTTTAATTATTTGTAATATTCTTCTCAATTCATCAAGTTTAGAAATCAAATATAAAGATATAAAACATTGAGACAAGTACTACAAGCTAATTTATAAAATAAATTAAGTCTCATTTTAAATAGAATAGATTAGTTCTAGATTAAAAAGATTGAGTAATAAATAATTATTATAAATACAGTCAAATCTCTCTATAGTCACATCCACTTATAGTCACACTTCTTTATAGTCATTCTATTTTACTTTTTCATTTACATATAAATATAGTAAAAAAATCTCTCTATAGTCACATTCTCTCTATATTCACCAAATTTTGCTTTCCTGAGGGTGGTGACTATAGAGAAATTTGACTATATAGTATATATTTTAGCTAGAAAAATAAATAGTCTTTGATTAACTTAGTGTTAATAAAGTTTTTTTGCTTTTATCCTTTAATAATATAATAATTGATTTACTATATATTTGTCAGAAGAATTGATTACTTTGTGTTTTCTTTTTTTGAATAATAATAAAGATTTTTGATAAATCTAAATTGCTTTTTGATAAAATAATATTTATATATTAAAAAATTTTGTGTTCTATTTTTTATAAATTTCTTTATAATTCTTTTATAATTTTTTGAATTCTTGATGAACTCACTTTTATTTTTTAAAAATTTATATTATTCTTAAAGTTCTTAGTAAACTTATTAGATTCTTTATAAATCATTTAGTACTTTGATTAATATATAATAATATTAGAAAATTATTTTATACTTTTTTTATTTTTTCATGCTTTTTCACATAAATATAGTCATTGTTTACTGTATAATAAAGATTTTTATCTGTAAAAACTACTAATAATAACAATATATAAATATAGTAAAAAAATTTTTTTATAGTCACATTATCTTTATAATTACCTAATTTTACTTTTTTGAAAGTGATAATTATAAAGAAATTTGATTGTAATATAAAATAAAAGAAAATGTGATTTATAAATTATATATAAATTAACTATAATCAAATTTTTCTATATTTACATCTGTTTATAGTCACATTTCTCTATAATCACACTATTTTGTTTTTCTATTTATATATAAATATAGTAAAAAAATTCTTTTATAGTTACATCCTCTTTATAATTACCAAATTTTACTTTTCTGAGAGTGATAATTATAGAGAAATTTGACTATATTAAATAAATTTTGGTTATAACTTATATTATTTTAACCTTTTAATTATATTAACTTAATAAAAAATTATTATTTATATTTCATATATTATTTATTATTTGTATTATTATTATTTTTGTTATTTAAAAAATATCAAAAAAATATTATATTATTTTAATTTTCATGTTGTTGATCTAAGAGAGATAATATTTATATTTATTTTTATATAGTTATTATTATCAATATTTTAGAAAAATCTTAATAATTATTTATTTTAAATTTATTAATTTTTTGTTGAAGTTATATTCAATATTATTATTTTATTATTTGATATTGAATTATAAGTTTTAATAGTTTAATAATTTGATCTTTTATATAAATATAATTATTATTGTTATTTTGAAATATTTTTATATGCAAAAACTCAAAATAGTAATAATATAGAATATTTTTATTTTGTAAGATAAATCTAATTAACCAAATTTATTAATATTATTTTATATATATTATATATTTTTCTTTTATTACAAAGTAATTATACTTATATATCTTTAAATAAAAAAAGAATATTATATACTTTTTATTGCATAAAAAAATAAAATTTATATAATTATTTTTATTTTAAATACTTTATATTTAATATAATAAGATTTAATTTTATTTTTAATAATTACAAAATATTTATCTTATATTTTTTTTATTTTTGTAATTTAACTTATATATTGAATATAATAATTTAATAATAATTAAAATCTTCATTATTATATTTTTTATATAAATTAAAATATTGTTTTAATATTTTATTACAAAAATAAATGTAATTATGAGTTAAATTATTTTATTTTTTTAGATAAAATCTTTTTGAATAAAGCTTTTTTTTTAGTTTTAGACATAAATTTTGCATTTATCTTGATTTTTAAATCAAAAGCTTGAAATTTAGCTGATATATTTATCTTGGTATCTAATATTTCTTTTAATTTTTTAGTAAATACAAGTGTTATACTTGACTTAGTTTTAAATAAATTATCTAAAAATTATTAATAAACTCATTTTGATTATTAATCAATTTTGTATTAGAATTCTTGAAGAAATCATTAATAATAATTTGAATTTTATTATTAATTAATTCTGAAATAAATTTTGCATTATATATATATTTTAATATACTTAATTTTGTTTACATTTATTTTTTTGAATAATTTATATATTTTTATAATTTTTTAAATTTTTTCTTGCAAATATATATTTATATGAAATTTCTGTGAGTTATAAATCTGTATCTTCAAATTTTTTTATAGAAAATGGAAAAATATTCTAATATTTTATAATATATTATATCTTTATATCTTTAGTTTTTTTTGTCATTATTATTCTTTATAATATCATTATATTAAATTATGAATTCTTTTTATAACAATATCAATATAAAATTTTTTCTTGATTAGCACAAATTATGTCTTAGTATTAGTTATTTTATCAAATAATTAAACTAAAGTAAGTAATGGAACTATAAAAAATTTTGGTTGGAATCCTCAATTAAAATTTTAGTTGTGCAACTTTGTTTTGATAAAATATTTTCTGAAAAATCAGAGATAAGTTTCTAATAGTTTGCATTATCCTGAATATTATCAAATATCATTTGAGTGATTTTTTTCTGTTTCTTTTTTTCTATGACTTTTTGACCAGAATTTCTGGCTGAAATTTCAATTATATGAGTTTATTTTATATCAAATAAAGTATTGTGATTGATTGAAATTGAATTTTAATTTTAAAGCTTTTTTTTGTTTCTATTTTATTACTAACTCTTTTTTTAACTTTCAAATTCACAAAATTATTAATATCTTTATTTTTTATTGATATAAGCTTAAAGTTGAATGAACTAATATCTTTATTTTGTAAAGTTTGAACAAGTCCAGTATTGAAAGAAATATTATTTTGCAACTGTTTTTGTTTCAATTTCGTGATTTTAATCTTAAGCTTGATATTTTCTTTTGCAGTTTGTTCTAATTTCATGACTTTAATCTTAAGCTTAGTATTTTCTTTGGCAGTCTGTTCTAGTTTCATGATTTTGGGCATAAACATTACATTCTCACCCATAAGTTTGGCATTTTCTTCTTTGAGTAAATCTAGTTCAGATGATATGTTTGTTATTATATATTTTATATATTTGCAGATTTGTTTATTTGCAAAGCAAAGACACTAATATGCCAAATAATTCCAATTATAAAATCACATGTGCATTATAAAAAGAATGGGTGAGGCTAGAAAGGTGATATGATGTGAGATATACAGATACCATCATATGTATCTGTATATTGGTATCATTCCATACCCGCGAAGCAATAAAACTTCTAACGTGAAAAAAATCGATGGGTAAGCAGTCACCTATCTTAAAAGTGTTTTCTCGACCTGAAAGAAGATCCTCGCATATCCATATTCTGACAGGTGATTGCTGTTCCAAAATTATCTGTAATATGATCTCGGTCTCTGGAAGCTTTTCTGGCATATTTCACCCCGTGAATCCAACCTTACGAAGTTTGATTCGAAGCCAGAGAAAAGATCAGGTAATTAACCTGGCAAAAAAAATTCACATACCTGGCTTACCTATTTCTGGACACGAACGATAGTAAGTAGGTATGGGATGTAACTCTAAAAGGATAAATATTAAGTCGCATAAATGGTGTTATATAGTAAAAATAACAGTTAATATGGTTAATATGGAATAACCGATCGCTATTTTCGGCATAAGGTGATCATCGATCACGTGTCATTTTAATTGACGATACGAAATGAGTCTTTTTTTTAAGCAACTCTACTTTCATGCCCTATCCCCGTCTAAGACAGTCATGGACACCAGACACGGTTACTTTTAGCTGTCTCGTCTACCAAATTCTATGAAAAACGAGTTCCTTAATATTCTTTACCTTAGATCTGGAAATGTATCGAAAAGATGGCGCAGAAGAGCAAGAAGGGACAAGAAGTTTGCAACAAGTACCTTCTACTATACAGGTAAGTCACAAAGGTTTAGTTTCCTTTTATGCATGTTTGCCCTTTGATACACATCAGGAGGAACAATCAATTCCTTTTCCCTACCGACCTCAATGGACATCCGAAACTGATGATAATAAGGGCTGGTGGGACAACAACCACCATAACCACCCCGTGGGACGCCCTTTGTTATCTATACACCATCAACTCTCGGTCCCAAAGAAAAATTCCAAAAAGAAGATGAAATTCACATATCTGAAACAGGTGACCTTTTTATTTCGGCATCTCGACCAAATTGCTCGATGGATGACCATACTGGAGCCCACCCGCAGATCTAAAAGTTGTCCGTCAACAATCAACGTATCTTGGAAATCGAGCCAGCAAAAGATTATCAAAGCCGTATTCGGAGCGTCAATCACGGCTCCCAAGAGAAGGGACAGAGATTACTTGATCACAATCCGACAGGAGAACGACCAATATCTTTTTCCTCGAGATCGGAATGGGAACGTGATCCCAGGCCTAGAATTTTGTGAGTTCTGGAACTGCACCGAGACAAATCCATGGACTCGTCTATCCCGGTGGAGACCGGATCTTCCAATCAAATTTCACACAATATCAGTACGGACAAAAGTAGTGATGCCACCATGCCAAAATTGCCTGAGTTGCTAGACATGCTGAAGAATGACCATCGCAGGATCCACGAAACTACGGGTGAAAGATTATTGGACCCAGAAGATAGAGTGAAACGTTCGGTATCACTGGTGCTCACCCGGTGTTTGTAGACCATTCTGGAATGGTTGTTTGGATGTTGGATGATCGTGGCATCATGTTTCAATGGAACGAAATGTCACAAAACATGGATTGCATGGGAGCTAATCTGAGGGAAGGTCTTGCGAACTACCTCTACCATCCAGAAAAGATATGTGCCATCATAGAAGGCACTGCCGACCTGATCCCGTAGAGGAACTTAGACGTCGAACAAAGGAAGAGTGGGCGAGGAGTTTGATGGCTGAGCCGATAGAAATGGTATGGGAAGGATCTGCGAAGAAAAGACGTAGGAGGTTGAAGAATAAATAGTTGCGTCTCACTATAAAAATATTACAAAAGGTTGATTTTTTGCGGGATATTATTGGATTTTTCCGATATCACACTCACATACAGGCATACACATGGTTAAAAAATAAAAGCCTTTTTCTTACCACTCATTCTGAAAAAGTTAATTTGTTATGAGTTTTATATTCTCGATCATGCATTTACTCTGTGCGGATGACGTAGTCCCCTATTATCGGCTATTTCTTTGAAATGGCCTAATTGCCCTAATCCGTGCAAAGCATTAACCATCCCGAATAGCAACAATCGAATAATGGCATTTTTTATTTGCGAACTTGTGAAATGACGGCCGAATGCTAATATCTGCAACTCATTTTTAATGGTTATAATATGTTATTACGCCTGATCATGAGTCGAAGACTCCTTGACTTTGTCAAGTTATTTGAAATATTTTCTTTATTACGCTATACAGGACAGTGCGTTCTAAATAACGTGAACAGCACACAAAAAATAGGCACACAAGTGCCGTGAGTCTTTAGACTCGCCCCTTTGGGCCTGCTCTGCAATAATTACATTCGAAAAGAAAATTTATGCTATTATACCACGAATAAACGATATGCAAATAATTTATGTAATAAGGGTGTTCTGAGCTATCATATGGTTAGATTGTGAGCCAAGTTCACAACCTCTTCACGTGATATTGCTTTGCAGACGCAGTATATATACTCGTATCATCACCTGCGTTTTTTATCATAAGTTTCGCAATAACAACATCAATCCCTTCCCAACCTAATTTTGATATAGCGGATGCTGAAAAACTTCTCACCCGTGTTATTTTTTTAATCCTATATTACTGAAGAGTTCATAAATTTTTCGGGCGACTTCTGTTCTTTTTCTAAGCGCTATGTCGCTGATATTCTCCGGAAGTTGTTTTCGTACTTCTTTATTAACCCGTATTTGAGCCAGTATTTAATTTCTACTCACATCCTTATTAAGTTTATTATTATTAACCATCCACTATTGTTATTTATATCTCTTTTTAAGTTTTAATTGATTAAAAATATTAAAATTTAGTTTTAGTATTAGAATTAAGAATTAGAATTAGAACTAAAAAATAGATTATATAAATTTATTTTTCCAAAATTTTTTATTAGTACTTCAAGTCAGATTTATTCATTTATTTTCTGTATTTTTCATATTATTTATCTTATTAATTTTTTTATATCAAATTTATTTTATCAGATTGATTAAAAATTTATATATTTTTATTAATTAATTTAGAAAATTCAATATATAATTAATTAATTAACAATAAAACTTACTTGTATTTAATTAGAACTTGAAAAAAAAAGAAATTAGTAAATATATAATTTTATTAATAAAAATTAAAATTTTTGTTTTATATAAAAATTTTCAATTTTATTAATAAAAATTTTTCTTTTTATATTAAAACAAAGATTATAAATTATAATTTAATATATATATTTTCTGGATTTTTTAGATTTTTTTTCTGATAAAATTGTTCTAATTACAAAAATTTTTTATAATTAATTTTACACTTTAATTATAAAAAATTTTGCAATAACTTTGTAATTAAAACAGCTTTGTTAGAAAAAATCTAAAAAATTCAAAAAAAATATATAAACTATTTATTAATAAATTAAAATTAAAATTAAAATTTCATATATAATTTTATAATTTTATTAGCTATTATATTTACAAATTTTTATTTAATTTAAATTGAACAAAAAATAATAATTTTTAATTTAATTTGAAATATTTCAAATTAAATTTAATATTAATTTAATTTAATTTAAAATATATAATTCAAATTAAATTATGAATTAAATTTGATCTAATTAAAATACTAAATTTAAAATTTGTATTAAAAAAATGAAAATAGTAAATTCAAAAAATAATAAAAGATAAATATAACTTATATTAAATATTTATTATATACAAAAATATTAAAATTAATATATTATTATAAATTTGATATTTCTAATAATATATTTTAATAAGTGAATTTTTTAGATAATAATAATCATTAAGCAAGTTTATTAATAAATTTTCAGCCAATTTAAAAAATATATGTATAAATTTTTTTATAGTCATTATTTTCAAAAAAATAAAATTGGATAATTATAAAAAGTAATTATAGAGAAATTTTTTTATTATATTTATATATAAATAAAAAATAATTATAAAAAAATATAATTATAAATAGATATAATTATAAAAA